TTGGCGTGGATCTTATCTTTTACGTGGCTTCAAAAGAAGAAGTCGCAAGGTGTTAAATTGTGGCCGGTTGGGAGATAATACGATCCGGAAACTTTTCCTTTAAAAGATCGATGGTTCTGTTGCTTGTTTGGCACGTAGCGCCGTCTTGTTGAAAGTCAATGTTATCCCATTCCGGGCAAAAAAATATTCAATTCATCGTACTTTTCGCTCCAGCCTTACCACGCCAGACCATAAAACGCACCAAATAGTTGCACATTAAGGATGGAGAGGCTTTTTAACAACAAATCTCGGGTTTTCAGAGCCGCAGATAGAACAGTTTTGTTAATTTACGTAGCCAGAGAGCTAGAAATGGTCCACAGCAGTCAAAATTATTTTTCTTTGAAATTTCAAATAATTTTCAAGCATTTAAAAGATGTTGTTGATGATCAGTCAGCTTAAGCTCTTTTGTTGACCGAAGTTTATGAGCTTTAGACGCAAAGTCTATATGCAAAACACGGTGTAATGACGTTTGAGGAATATTCAATTTCAATGAATGACAAAGCATGAACAAACCTGGGTTTCCTGAAGCACTTTGGGCTGCAGCAACAATATTCTCAGTTGTTCTTGAGCGACATGCACGTGTTTTATTCTTCACATTACTCACATGTCCCAGCAGCTCAATCTGAATTGCGTCTGTTTTTATTTGTCAAATGCCAAAAAGTTCCTGCTTCAAAAGTTACATCTACTGGAATAGCAGGTTATTTAAAATAACACCTTTTATTAGAAAATTCTACTTTAGACTGCGTAATAAATAGAAAACTAGTCACATTTTAGTGCAATTCGCTCCAAAAAATTTGTATGTCGAATTATGTAAATTGACATGAATTTACAATAGATTCGATATTTTAAATATATAAATATAAATATATTTGTTTATTTGCGCCAGAGTTTGTTTTTATACCCAAAGCCTTATTTGCATGCACTTTTTGGAATTTACATGAGCATCGTCAGCCACTCAGTTCTTTTCATCTAAATATGGATCTCTTCTACCTTGGGAATAAGAACAAGTAACCGAAAGATAATAGTCTATAAGAACTGTACCTACAAAAAGATAAAAGTGATCTTTTACAACCTGTGGATTCAGAATTTTCAGTCAGTTTTTGCCGTACACTTCTCGATGTCGAGAAAATAGAAAAAAAACGATGTTTTTTCTTCGATTTAAATATTTATTTAATAATCCCTAACTTATGGGGTTATATCCACTTATAGTTCTCAAGAAATCTAGTTTTTCAATGTATTCAAATTGATATGATTGTATCATTAAGGAAGTCGAAAGTAGGCGAAGTAGTTAGCTTAGTGTAAATGGTTCCACAAACTTTAAATTCGTTTTTCTGGAAGGGCCTAAACAGAACAGTTTAAAACCTTTTAAGATTAATTTGTTAGGTAATGATTAAAGGAATAAAGTTTTTGACCATAATTTCGATTTCCAAGCCACTTCGAAATGTAGAATTTTTCACAATAAAATAATTTTTTTTTGTCAAAAATTAAAATTTTCACTATTCCTTCAGCCATTACCTGTGTTCATTCATTATAATACTAAATTCATTTGAGTTTTGTGTTTCAGATAATATAAAGCAGAATATCTTCTTTACCTTCTTCACACCTTTTTTTGGGGGCCCTTCTGGCGATCGCCTACAGGAACAAGAGGATCCAATATTTTTTAAAATTAATTGTTTATTGTTAAACTACATTAAATTCTGTCCATTAAAATTTTTTCTATTAATTCAACGAATAAAATGGTTTTCAAAGAAATTTAACAAAGTTTAGCATTTATTTTGGATATAACCTCTTAACTTAATAATAAAAGGTTTGCCATGTAGTATGAGCAACATTTAATAAGCAACGGAAAATGCAAAAATGTACAAAACAACGTTAGACATTTTGCAGCTGTATACACAAGTGTGAGTGATGACCGTGAATTATCGGGGAAGGTTTTGTTTATTACAAATTTTAAATAGAACTGTTTCAAAAATTAAAGCCGCACGACCTTCCACAATGGCTAACTTTTGGACAGTGGGCAGAGTTCGATGAAGATCCTCCGTTTTATCAAAAAATTGTATACAGCTCATTTCTGCTCATATTTGGAGTGAAGAACAATAAAAGGCATAACAAGAATCACCAGTGCATCTCGACAAAGCCACTGCTTAATTATGGTTATGGGCCGGCGGCATCTTCATCAAAGACAATGAAGGCCACCGTGCGATATGTTAAAAAATTTAGTTTTTATGCGGATTGTAGCGAGACATTCATCCACCGGGTTGAGTGACGGAGTCTCTCCTCCACCACCATTTCCAATTTTTAAGGCGATCCATATAAACATAATATAAAATACATACGTGTAAGTGTAGGGAACCACGATGCTTCCTTACACTAATTACCCTACTCTGCACTTTCACCTTATCTCATGCCCGAGTGGTTAATGTAATTGGGCGAACGTGTTTTATGTGCATAATTTATTTTGCTTCGATATCAACGCGTTAATGGTTTTTAATTTATTGAAGTCAACTCTGCTTTATCTACACATAAGTATATGTGTGTGTATATAGAAAATATATGAACCAATGCACTAATTTAGTGGGCGTCTTTACTTGATAGTCAGCCCCAGGCAAGGCTTCGCATCGACCTTTACATAGTACACATTCGTACTCACATAGCTTACTTTTGCTTTCATTTCGCCGTGAGGCATATTAAAATGCCATTAAAGTGGCTGTGTTTCATATACCCAATCACTTGAAAATCTATTCATAAGTAAGCCATATTGCAAGAAAAAGGATTGTGTGTAAATATGTATGTATGGATGTATAAGAAAAGTGGAAATAATAAAATGGCAAAAAATAAAAAAAAAATAAAAAAATGGCAAAGGGTACGTTCTTGTCTTAAGGCTGTAAGGAGTGTGGAAGAGCATAAAAATTGCATTAGCGATAGAGTGGCTTGTGCATATATACAAATGTATGTATGTGATATAGACTAAGGGTAGGGTTAGTTAGTGCGTGTGAACACATTAAGCGAAAGATGATGGTTTCCCTCAGCGCATACAAAACAAATACATATACGTATACATATAACAAATATACATTTAATAAGATGTTTATATGTGTATATTGCATCTGCTAAAGCGTATACGAGTATTTGCAGTTTCATTTTAATAATTTATTCTAAAATCTATTTTGTGTTAGTTTTTATTTATTTTTAATAAAATATTTAAGCACTTCCACAGCCGTACTTACACATAAACAGATGTTAGTTAAGCTTAATGTGTTTCCAATATTTTCAACGATTCGTCCAATTGGTATTTAAGAACTTTTCGATTAAATTTTAGCACATAATTACGGTAGCGAGAGAGCCAGCGCTTCGTCGCTCCATTTTTCGGCTTTTGTGGTTATTCCATTTTGTAATTTCAGTACAGATTTTCTTGGGAAAGCAGTTTATATGTGAGTACCAATAAAACATTTTTTAAAAATGAAAAAGATGGAACTTTTTTGGGCATAATTCTAGCTCCCAAAAATGTAAGTTTTAAGCGAAAAATATGGATAAATAAGTAAAACATATTAAATTATTTGAAAAAATGCAAAATTTTAGTTCGGTGATATTCAGTGTCAATACAGGGTGTCCCAAAATTAACGCACGATTTAAATTTGCCACCATTTGTGTAGTAAAGTGTTGACAGCCCTAAAAAGGTAGTGTTTTAACTTCATCAATGACGAAGAGATTAATTGAAAACCTCCTGTAAACAGGATCCGTTGGGGACGCCAAATAACCTGGTCGTTCGAAAAGAAGTCCTGCAAATGACAATATCGCAGCAGTGCGTGAAAGCGTCGTGGAATTATATTGGAAATTTCAAGAAACTCTCTACACAGCAGATACTCTCTAAAGATTCGTGTCTCCATGTTTACGAAATTCATTTAACACAACGACTGAATCCTAATGACCATACACAGCGAAGAAAGTGTGTTTTTTGATTATTGAACTACAGCAAATGGATGCTGATTTTTCGAGTAAATCCATCCCCATGCGGTGAAGCACAATTTAAACTTGATGGGCTTGTTGATCGCCAGAATTGCCACTTTTGTGGTTCTGATGTCGCGACATGATTACTCAGCTCTTTTTGCCACAATTGATTTGATGTTGCAGTGGCCAATATGTGGATCCAACAAGTCGGTGCCATATATATGTCATACAGCCCGTGAAATTATTGAATTACTGTATGAAATAATGCTCGGTCGTGTACTGACTCAGTTGAGGTTATCATAATTGGCCACCTAGATCGAGTGATTTAACACCTTTTGATTTCTTTTTATGGGATTATTTAACACAAAAATTCTATTGGAACAAGCATACAATCAGTCATTGAAAATGTGGAATCGTGTTACTCCATAAATAATCCGATCCCATCACATCACAATTAATATTTACCACTTGACTCACTTCACATTATATCACATGACATATAATCACATCACATGATATCACATCACCTCAAATTATATCGCATCAAATGACATCACATATAGCCCAGACCTGGCCGCTTCGAGTGATTATTAACTGTTTCCGTAAATGAAAAAAGTGATGGCGAGTAAAATTTTTATCACCGATGATGAAGTTAAGGCGGCCGTTTGGGTGTATTTGAAGATAGAAAGAAAATATATTTCTATATGAAATTGTAAATTAATTAAAAGATCCGAAAAATGTATCCGTCTTGTAGGTGAATCTGTCGAAAAGTAAAAATAATTTGGCTTTGTTAAATATTTAAACTGCTTTTCCGCCATTCCGTGAGCATGACAATGTTCCATCGTAGCTTTTTGAAATATATTTTTATAAATAAATAATATTATGTTGTATTTGTTCGCCTGCAATCGTCTTCATGATTTAGCTCTACAAAAGATTCATGCTTTTTTTTTCTTTGCTTTAGAATTATTACATATTTTATTAGAAAAAATTTTTTTTAAAGTACTTACATTTAAAATTTCTTAAATTTCTTGTAACCCTTCATTACTAGACCAATTTCACTGCTATGTCGATAATTATACGTTTTGAAGAATTCCTCCGTTTACCTAGCTTCTTTTCTCGAAACATTGGCATTATACTATGGGGTCAGAGAGGTAAACTTTTCGATCGCTTCATGTTCTACTTCTCTTCAATCAACCTATTTCTAACACTTCTTGCCGAGTTATGGTATATCATTTCAACTATCAGCACTGACTTTATAACGGCCATCATGGGTTTGTCGTACGTCTCGTTCGTGGTGCTTGCTGAGGTTAAGTTTTACTATTTAATCAAATATGATATGAAAGTCAGCACAGTTTTAAAGCGTTTGAATGCACTTTTTCCGCACACCAAAGAGGAACAAGAGAACATACAATTAATTAAATACTTGAAGATGAGCAAATTCTACACATTGTTCTATACGGTCACATTCATGCTGGTTATATGGACGTACAACCTGTACACGGTATCGCAACGTTTTATCTACACGAAGATATTGCAAGTACGCGAAATCGAACGTGAATTACCCTATCCGGCTATATACTTCTGGAATTGGCAAGATAACTGGAGCTATTTTATGCTCTATATATCACAAAGTTTAGCTGGTTGGCACGCGACTTGTGCACAAATTCTGACAGACTTGCTCATCTGTATTTTGATTTCACATTTGATAATGCACTATGATCACATTGCGCGCAGTTTGCTGAATTACCAGTCAAAATTTGCTGAGTTGTATGGTAAGGAGAGCACGATGAAGTGTATGCCTAAGTTGGCAAGAGTAATGATGGAGGAGAGAGCAGTGCGTGCGGATATGAAATTTTTAGCTGATATTATTGCTTATCACACGGAATTGTTGAGGTTTGAAATTTTGAAGTACTAAACTTTCGAGAATAACTCGTAATATTAAAAGTATTTTCAATGCTTTACACTAGTTTGACCGAGTCGTTGAATGATGTCTTTGGTGTGCCACTCTTTATGAAGTTTATGAGCTCTTCGGCTATAATTTGCTTTCTTGGCTTTCAAATGACAGTTAACCGGGGTTTCGATCTACTCACAAAATTGGCGCTCTTCTTTATACTCTCCGTGCTGCAAGTATATCTCATCTGTCATTTTGGACAGCTGCTAATCGATGCGGTGAGTATATTAAGAGCTATATTTTATTCAGCAACAACATTTTTGTTATAGTGCTGTCTGAGAATAGAAAAAAGCAGTAGGATTTGATGAATGATTGATTATAAAATTATGTTTTCGGTTTGTCTGACGTCAGACATGAGTGAGAGACAAGGTTGAAAGAAAAAATAAGAAATAAAATACAAATATTAGTTATTAAAAAAGTCTCTTCGTTTTTTTTTTCATAATATTGAACAAACTTTTCCATTATTGAAAATTTATTTTCAGCAAATACATTATTATCCATCAGTGTGGCACAGCGGCGACGAGTTTGGCAAAATAGTTTTCAGTGGTCCTATGGTCGGACAATGTTTTACGATCAAGGGCGTTAAGGCCGAGACCACTAAACATCATAGTCAGATAGTGCGAAGTCCAAAACACGCCCGCCAAGTTCAGTTGATATTTGCTGGTCATCACAGCTGAATGTATGTGGTCTGGCGTTGTCATGTTGCATCTCAACACATTTTCTGTTGAATCGTTGATCGAATTGATCGTTTCACAAAGTTGTAGGAACTCCATCCAATCTCAGCATTCCCCCACCATTACCTTGTTTGCCATCAATTCAGGTTTTCGACTCGTTTGTGAAAGGTCACAGGCTATTGACGATGATTTTTGTTAATTCTAAAGACGGATTTAACTGTAACATTACCCGTTTTGAGTCACTTCAGAACAATTTTTTTTCGTTCGGAAGCTTTTCACTATTGGTAATTTTTATGTGGCACTCAAATAATAAGCTTCCTTGAGTAGCCATCCTTTTTTAAGTGACTTCAAACAGTCACATGATTAATACCTAATGCCCTGGCTATTTCGTGATAGCTTGCTCCACCAAATGCAGCACTTCATTGGCTTTTTGAGTGACTGGAAACCCAGAACGATGTAAATCTTTGACAATAAAATTTTCAAATCTCTCAAAAACCTATTGGTTTGGCCTCGTCGACTATCTATACCGGAAAGCATTCTAGCAAAAATTTGCGTACTTCTTTGAGAACTCTAGAAAAAGCTTTGCCTGCTTGGATGCTTTTAACTTATCACCATTTTAGATAATGATAATCGCATTTTTTATTTGTTTATTATTTCTTCATCTTTTAGAGCACAAATGTGTCAACAGCTCTTTATTCCCAAGATTGGACCAATGCCGATGTACGTTATCAGAAAATGCTTGTACTAATTATAAAGCGTGCACAGCGCTCAGCCACATTAAAGGCAACAAATTTTATAATTATTTCCAGGGCAACCATGACCGAAGTGAGTAGACATTTAAATAGTTAATTTTATAGTTATCCGTTCCTAACTTCCTTTCGTTTTCTCTCTCTCTTTCTCTCTCACTCTCTCTTGCAGATAATGCAAATGTCTTACAAATTCTTTGCACTCATACGTACCATGTATAATGATTAAATTAAAATATATAATATGTTTATATTAATATTGTAGCAATATTTTTGACGAGCACACAAATATAGAAATAATACATGTATATATATATATATGTATATATTATGTATATATATATTTTTGCACTTTTCTTAGTAGTAAAATAAATAGCTTGATATAAAACAATTTGATTATTTATTTCTTGACCATGAGCCACAGGCCCATGGCGCGAGGCGTTGCGCTCACCAATAGTTTCCTTCAATATGGTGCTTGTAGGGCCGTATTGTTGCAATGATTGTCCACTTCAACATTCTCCTATTCAGGTAGAAAAAAGTCTTTAATCATGGCTCTACATCGTTCCTCATTGACTGTAACATTACGGCCGTCTATATCTTTGATGAAATATAGACCAATGATTTTCCGTCTGCTCATAGAACACGCCAAACAGTAACGCTTTGAAGATGTAACGCCGACTCAATAATTGCTTTTAGACTATCGTCACGCCGAATGCTACAATTTTGTTTATTCACGCACCTACTTCACCATTCAGTTTCATCGCTGAACAACTTTTAAATTTAAGTCATCATCAGTAAAATGTACTTGATTTCGGAGTGTTTTAGTTTATTTGCCATTCGTCGATTGTGTGAGAAAAAGTGACCTGATATATCAATCATTTGAACGCAATGGGAATATTTGCTAAATTATGGTACTCTGTCTTACGAGTAAATTTTTTCTGAAATAGTTCAAAATCAATTTAAATGTTGGTAAAAATGCATTTATTTGTGCATATTTTCTGCATTTTTCAAAATTTGCATGCACTCGAATACAGTTTGGTGAATGGATGACAGCTCGAAATATGCCGTTTATATTAAGCAGTCTCCGAAGGGTCTATGGATTTTTTTGAAGAGCGGCCGCAATCAGAAAATTTGATAAACATTCCATTTTGGGTCTCCTGATAGCTTTCTTGAAAGTTGGTTGGTTAAAGGCTTTCTATAGCTCTGCTTCTTTCATGGGTTCTGAGTCTTCTTCGTTCTATAATTTATTAGCTTTTTTCTTTTGGGAACAGATAAAGTGCATGATGCCTAAAAAACCTTGGTCGCAAATTTTGAAAAAACATACTGCAAAATTGGTTGCTCTTAAAATTACTTAGTTTGACAATTAAAATTACTTAGTTTGACAATTTAGTTCGCCTTTTTACGTTGGGAATATATTAATTTCCGTTGTTTAGGTGAGATTCGTTTTGCCCCTTAAGCCTGGGGAAATAAAATTTCCTCTAAATATTTTATGTGCTTCTTTAACCCTTTGACCACCGTAGAATACTCTCTTACCTTACTTGTATCACTTGAAGGTGGTTAGTTTCATGCCTGTACTTATATACGCATTTGTGTGCGTGCGGGAGATAACCAGATAATTGCATATAATTAGGCGAACCTAATGAATGTTTATAAGCATTGAAATATGTAATTACTTTTATAAATATTTACAAAATTTCAATTCCGTTACATTGATGTTTACGCCCAAATTTTAAAATAAGCAATTTTAATGAGACAGAAGTCAGTTTGAAGTAAAATATAAAAGCTGACAAACGATTTGTCTTTTTAGTCTTTCTGCTCAAAGAAAAGTGTGGAGTAATTGAAAAAATTGGTATTTTGGGAAATATTTTTAAAACATTATAAAAAAATTCCATTATATGTTAAATAACTTAAGTGTAAAACAGAAAAGAGGTGTAAATTTAGTTTCATTTATATAAAGCATAGGACAAACGACCAGATTAATTCTAAAGAGTGCGTCATTAGGAATTAGTGCAGCGAATTATAGGCATATCTCAGTATTCAAAAATCGGACTTTCAAATAACTCATGATTTATACATATAAATATAACTCAAAAACAAAATTTTTAACATAAAAAATTAAATCATTTTGGTTTACAAACGAGTGACTCTTTGGCAAGCAATCTTTCACGTAAGTGTCACTATTAATTGCACCCCAAATGCAGAACGCTTGCCAAACTAAAAGTTTTCTGCGGAAACTTTGCCTTTCTTTGAGTTTTAAATATTTTCTGAATGTTTCCTCTAGCATCAGCAAAATAAAATTGTAAAATTCTTAAAGTCTCTTCTCAATTTCTGAGCGCGTATCTTTGCTTCGCAGTTCTTCTCAGCGTTTTGGTCCGGCTCCTTCTGCACTCGGTACAATGCGCTATCTGAATTTCCCTTTAACATGGGCAGCACCTTCTTAGCATTACTTTGGTCACTGCAACCTTTTTTCTGCCCGTAACTTGTATACGATATACATTAATATTCTCTTAAAACTTTTTTACTACCCGGCAAATAATGTGTCGGCCAACTTTAGCATACCTTGCAATTCGCTTAAAACTAAATTGCGGATTATTAAAAAAAAAAAGTTCATGACTGCATAATAATGGTCCCAAAGGGCATTAATGGCTTGTCATTTATTATTTCAAGAATTATTTTTTTTTGAAGAATTTTCTAATTTTTCTGTTTAAGCCCCATTCAGCGCTTAACATCGCCTCAGTCTAAGTCGAAATATGCATGCTTATTGAGATTGTATGTCTGCGGGGAGTCCAGCTTAAACAAGAGTACACTCCGAAGCACTCAGTGACTTATTGTGAGTGTGGATTATCATCAATCCGGAAACGAAAATTTTGCTCATTAACGTATCCGTACAACCAAAGTGAGCTTCATTGCTAAACAAAATTTACTCATGAAAATCGAGATGGGTGGTAATCTCTTTTTGGGCCTGATCAACGAACGTGCGAGGCTCTTGCCCTAGTTGTTGTTGTATTTTGTAGGCCCGTAAACCAAGATCCAACCGATTGCGGATAAACCCATTGCATTAACGTTTTCGTTTGGTGCACACTGTACGGCTCCTCTGAGGATGCGCTTTATCTACTAGAGTAAATGTGGTGCAAAGCCGACCCATGGATGCTCGAATTATCGACTCTGCTGTCTAAAACATCCATTCCGAAAAAAATGTTACTTCCTTGAAATCCATAGGTAGAAAAAGATTGATTGAATCACTGATAACAGGCTGAGAATCCAACTCAAAATCTTCCCACTAGTGAGTGCTACTTTCATTAAGTAGGCAATTGAAAGCAAAGTCCACAATGGGTGAATAAAAGCCAATCTCTATCCTTAAGACCCGTATTCATGAGGCAGAAGTATGGGTAATAATTGTACAGCGAAGATGAAGTTCAGTGGCGGACAAAGTCATAAAGATACTCATTGCATACAGGACATACTTTAAGTTTGTTAGGCTTAAGTCTGGATAAGTTGGAGTTGAATCTACAGCTTATTTCTGTCACTATTTCTGATATGAGCCAGGAGCTGCCAATTTTTCAACGACCTAACGCCGTTTAGAGTAACAAAAAGTACTGTATATGTAAATAATGGAATAAATTTGGTGATCAGTATTAATCGACTTTCAAACTAACAAACTGCCACCTGTAAAGTTAAGTTGACAAAAGGTCGAGTTCAGTTTGTGAACCTGAAAAGTGTCTTGATTAATCAGCGTGAAGTGGATAGGCTGCAATGTCGCCGAAGCAGCTAAAATAATCTCGTCTGAGAAACCTCCCATGCCACTTCCCCTAGCTATATTATGGATTACTACATGAACATAAGCGGTCATATTAGAGGATCGGAGGACTTAGTTTTTGCAATCTAAACACGACAACCTGTGCATTTCTAATCAAAAACTTTATTTTCTTTTTTCAAGTTCGAGAATGTGTGAGAACATTGAATCATTTGAAGCCTTTCTACGCATTCCCAGCTTCTTCTATCGTAGTGTTGGCGTTGATCTTTGGAACACAAATGGTGGGTCGATACAACGGTTTATTTTCTATTTTGGCTTTTTGAATGTCAATTTGTGGCTACTCTCCGAACTAATTTTTGCCATCATAACTGTCAGTGAGAACTTCATACAAGCCACCATGACACTCTCCTATGCTGGCTTTGTGCTCGTTGGCTCTATAAAAATGTACTTTATGTGGCGAAAAAAAACAGAGATGACACAATTTCTCAAACTCATGGATGAAATTTTCCCGCGCACAGCCGAACAACAAAAAATGATGAACTTACGACGACACTTGCGGCAAAGTACGATTGTTATGAGCGGCTTTGCATTGATTTTCATGATACTCATCTGGACGTATAATCTCTATCCCTTCATGCAACGACAAATCTACGATTGTTGGCTGGATACGCGCAGTATCAATAAAACACTACCTTATGAGAGCTATATACCATGGAATTGGCACAATCATTGGAGTTTCTATTTGTATTATGTTTTGCAAAGTATTGCGGGTTATCATTCCGCTGCGGGGCAGATCGCTAGCGATTTGGTCTTATGTGCCATGGCTACACAAATGATCATGCATTATGAGTATGTTTCACACAAGATAAGAAGTAGATATAGGGGAGAGCGAAAGTGTGTGGACAGCAAAAGCGTTAGTTGCCTGAATGCGTTAAATCATTGGACGGAGGAGCAAGTGGCAACGCATAAGGATATGAGGTGGCTTTGCGAAACAATAGCCTATCATTCCAATCTATTGAGGTATGTATAGCTGGAGATGCACATACACATACACGTACAATACATAAATGCAAAATCTCAAGAAAATAAAAAGAAATTTATTAAATCTTTTAGCTTATCCGATGTTATGAATGATGTATTAGGTGTACCGTTGTTAGTAAACTTCATGACTTCGTCTTTTGTCATTTGCTTTGTGGGCTTCCAAATGACAATGGACGCCGAGCCGGATTATATGGTTAAGCTGTTTCTTTTCCTATTTTCATCGCTAGCGCAAATCTACTTGATTTGCCATTATGGACAGCTACTTATCGATGCGGTGAGCTTAGTTTTAGTGTCATTTGAAATGAATTTCTGTTTTGAATGGTTTTGCTGTGAGTTTATAAAAGTGAAAAAAAATCTTACAATTTCAGAGTATCAATGTAGCTGCAGCTGTATACGATCAGGATTGGTTCGATTTGAATGTGCGTTATCAACATATGCTGGTGCTGGTGGTTGCCCGCGCCCAAAAACCAGCAATGTTGAAGGCAACAAATTTTGTGCGCATCTCTCGTGGCACCTTGACTGATGTAAGTATTTTCCATGTAGCGTCCGATAAGCTATGTATTTAGTACTCAAACCTCAATTAACTTGGTTTGCCTTTCCCTCAGTGTGTATAAAATCTTCTTTTTTACTGTATGTTAGTACCAGCTAAAGCATTTATTTTGTGTCAGGGCATTACACATTTGCAGTTCACGGAACAACAAGCCCACCAGTTATTTTTATATTTTTCGCTGTTTAGCGCCAATTGAACACTCCAAATGAAACCAAACCTTTCGCCAACGTTATTCTTCCGTCGAAAGCGCTATTCGCCTGTGTCTAAAATAATTCTCTCGAAAACTCCTAATGCCAACTCATCGGTTGTTGTCATAACCTCAACACCTGCATCATAAAGCCGAGCGGAAATGATGAGAAACTTTTAGATCTTTGTCTTGGTAGGTCGGGATTCGACTTTACTTTTTAATGCCTACTCAGTTCAAAGTTGCAGCGGATTCCAACAGGCTCTTTGTGTGTTGACCGGAAAAAACATTTCGTCTAGTTCTTTGTCTAATCTATAGAAAACGGTTATTGATTGAGGAAGTGAAGCGCTGAGACCGTGTTTTATGCCAAACAGCTTTGATAGGTTCTCCTCAATGTTGGCTTTGCATCTGAAAATCTTCAGAAATAGTTTAGGTAGACATAAAAGTTGCAGAGGCAGCTTTAAAGTTCGACGATGAAGTGCTATATATTCCAGGATTTTTTGCATATTTTTTGTGGATTTACCAGGTCCCAGGCTATATTGATAGAACTGTGTTTTTTAATTCTTCACACACCACTCTGGATAAGACCTTGTACGCATTGCTGAGAAAACTTTGGATCTATTTCAGTCATAGCACAAAGCACACTCAGATTTCAGTCATTGGACATACTTAAGTCTAACCATAAACTGTAAAGAAGCTGATGCATGCCCTTCGACGCTTTCTTATTCTTCAAACGAATCATCGCTATCCGATGGTACCTTTATGCTCTGAGGTTTCAGGCTCGCTATCGCTGGCTGTTTTATGTTCCTTGCGATTAAGCAGCCTGCCTGCAGCGTAAAGTCAATATATTCCAAACGTCCTACGCTTCATCGTCGTTTTTAGGTTTCTATAGGAAAAACTCCAGTTGCTGAGGTTCTTCATAAAAATGCATTTCAGGATATTCTCTTTTTTTTTGTTCTATAAATGTGTCTAGTCTTGCTATTCAATACTCGATATTTCCCATACCATTCTTTTTTTTGGTCCATCGAAATGTGCCAAGGTAAGCGGTTCTCATTCTCTATACATCAGCATCGCAGTATTCTATATCCTTCAAGATACGTCTGGTTGAAAACTGGCCGGCTGTAAGTCGAACCTCAGCTAAATTTGCCGATGTGCATTCTTTGCTGCAACAAGTCAGTGGTTCCAGCCGATATTAGAACTTCAGTGAGTAAGCACATCAATAACATTCGTCATTCCACAAACGTATATTGCATACGGACTTCGGTCTTACTGCTCATAAAATGAAGTTAGCATAAGAAATCAAGCCGACCGATCATCAAACACGTCGTGCCTTTGCTGATTGGGTCTTTGAAATGCATAAAACTGGTCCGGAATTTCATCGAAAAATCATCTTGAGCGTTGAGGCTTATTTCCATCTCGATGGCAAAACTGTTGTATTGTTGAGAAGCCTCTCCATTCTAAATTTGTAACTGTTTGGTGCAGCTGATGGTCCGGTGGGGACTTTACTTTTTCGAATATGAGGCTGGAGCACCAGTTAATGGACTGCGCTATGAAGAGATGACTAATGATTTTTAGAATGAAATTGAATGGTATTGATCTGGACAACTTTCGCTTTTAACAAGACGGTGCTACGTGCCACACGAGCTACGAAACCTTCGATACTTTTTAGCGAAACGTTTTCGGATCGGGAAGCTGTGATCGCAATTGGATTCCAGGATCTTGTGATTTAATATTTTGCGGCTTCTTCTGCAACAACCGACCAACGTCAATTCAAGGTCTTAAAGATGGAATACGTGAAACTGTGGAGGGTTTTCAGTGGATGCTTTGCACTTTGGTGATTGAAAATTTCATAAAAAGCATATGGTTCTTTAAGCGTAACCGTGGCGGAAATTCGGTTAATATTGTTTCCTATTATCAGGGGCATATTTACCTCTTGGCATTGGAAAAACAACCCACAATTTGTCTCGAAAATTTTCCATTTTCTTTGTATATCAAAATAAAATCTCCTATTGGAAAATCCTGTATTTATCTTATGTGTTATTTTTCTTCTTTCTTGCAGATTATGCAAATTTCCTACAAGTTCTTTACGCTCATTCGTACAATGTACAGTGATTAAAGTGCAACCATTCCATGGACAATCGAACACACGATTTTATGCCGCTTTTGCTTTTGTTTCTCGTCATATACTCGTAGTAATACATATATGAATATATACATATATATGTATGTGTGTATGTGCAACTATGGAAATGATGAACACAGATGTTCGCGTGATAAATTAGGAATTCAATATGCAATTCGAAATATTAGCATTTGTAATCCGTATGGAATTTCAGCAGCGGCAGCATATGTATGTAAATTTAATAAAATTTTAATTAAAACCAACCGTGACTGCAAAGTGTAAACAGAATGTTTAAATTATAAACTACAATTAAAATTAAATAAAAAATGTATGGCTATTAGTATTGTATATATATATATGTATGGTATGCATATAAATGAGAAAAAAGAAAATGAATTTATCAACGCGAATGTAAGTAATAACGGCGTTAATAAAATATACGAAAAAAAAATATTTTTATTTATTTATCTACATATTTTTGTTATATTTGACATATATATGTATGTAAATTTGCCTGCATGTCAGCCATTGTGCACTTGCATATGCGAGATATATAAAAAGTTGCAATAATCGCAAACTCATCGCCTTTTTGGAAATATTTTTCATGTTTTAGATTTTTCGTTCAGTTTTCATTTTTATTTTATTTTTTTTTTTATTTTCACTTTTTCCTATTTGCTCTATGTAATATCCAATTCCATTTAAGTGGACAAAAACCATTTTCAATTGTTGGCGTTTTGTAGCTTCCACAGCATTTTCGAGTACCACCAAATCCGTTAGGTAACTGTTACTAACTAACGAATATATATGGTGCCTAACCTAAATCCTCTGTGGAATTAGTTTCAATTTTTAATTTCACTTTACATAGAAAATTCCAACACACACACACACACACACACATTTAAACGCTCGCAAGCAAACCTGTCAAAATGTTATACTACTACAACAACTACTATTACTATACGACCATACATGTATATATACCTACATATAGCTTTATATTGTAAAATGAAGTGAGGTCATTGAGGCTGAAAATCAATGAAAGCAACAAAAAAATTTCTATTCTTGATTACTTCAGCATATAGCGGTGTTTAATCGGTATTGTGTCGTAATAGTTCAAGTAACAAGTCAACCATTGCTTTTATATTAAATTGAAGAATTCGACAACTTTTTACCCTAAAATGAGTACCACCGATTTTCACAGGCTTATCGTGAGGCTGAACTGGTGAAGGCCAAAATATTCACCATATACTAGAACAGATGGTAATTCGGACTATAAGGCCAAATCATAAAAATCACCCAACCGAGCTCTCGGAACTTTTGGCGAATCACTAACCAAGAGTCTGGTCCGGCGTTGACTTGATGAAGCACAATTTTACTCCTGTTGTCCAAAGCCGGACGCTTCTGTGGGATTGCTTTATTCAGACGGTGGAATTGAGAGTTTGGCCGTAGGCGGGCAGTTTCTTAAGTCTTATTTCTTGCTGCAACCCAGTCAAAAATACATTCCTTGCCGTCAATTCTGCCTTGGGGACCGTTTGCGTCGGCTCTTTACTTTTCGACCACGAGCGGTTTCCTTTGACAATGGTGTGAGGGATTCACGATTATTCTCTTCCAAGGCGCCATTCGGCTTATTTGCGCAGACAAACAACTTCATAAAACCCAATTAGACGTAGTTCAGCGGTGTAAAACACACGTTCTTGAAAGCTGCGCTTACCAAAATTTTCCGTAGGAATCAAATATCGCCCAAGTCAACATCCATTTAGGCACGAAAATGTCCTCATCATGGCTTTACCCCATTGATTGTATGATTAGCGAGGTCTTCATGCCTGAAGAAATATGGAACAAAGATTCACTACGCTCATAGAGCACACCAAACAGTGACTTCTTGTAGATTTAATGGAGTCTCAACAATGACTTGTGGATTATCATCATTTCCAATTCGAGAATTTTGTCTATTAATGTGCCCAGTCAACCAAAGTGAGCTTCAACACTGACGTTGCCTGTCTCGTGCTGGCCCTTTCCATAAAAGTGGGACATGTTTGATGGTCGTTCGGCTTCAATTCTTCTCTGAAAAGTCTCCCATAAAGTGGATGGATACAGCTCCAATTGAGCTCCAATTGTAGCGCACGACAGCGGAAGGACTCATTCGAGTCTTCTTCGAAACTCTGACTTTCAGCAGCAACAGCGTTTTCGGTGCACACTGTACGGCGTCGCTAAGGTTGCGCATTATACAAGAGACTGAATGTGGTTGCGAAATTCATCCTCGGTTGCTAAAGCAAGTTACTGACTCTGCTCGGTGATTATTTTGGTAATAAATTTGACCGATTTGCAAACCTTGTACCGCAGTATGTGAGTATCAATCAAGTAACAATTGCCAAAAGACCTACTCCGTAAAGCTATTGCTTCAATGAAAACATGACGAAAATACACCTTACTTATTTGAATGCAATAGTTATAGGGGATCCTTAATTAAGTTGTTGAAAATATTTAAATACAGGGTACGCCATCTATATGTGGTCAATGGAAATGTTAAGTAACTCGAAAAATTTTCCACGACATTTGCAAGCACCACGGGCAATATCGTAGTGTTTTCAGCTCGAATCTTGTTCTTCAGCTCATTCAAAGTCATCGGTTTGTTGGCGCAGTGAAATCGGACGGTCTTGGTAGCCAGTCGATATCCCTTCCTTTCGATACCACACGTGCGGGAAACTTTTGTCGCAAGAATTTCATCGTTGACTCCTCTGTGTGACATGTTGTGCCATCTTGTTGAAACCAAAAGTTTTTCAGATATTTTACCGCCGCGATACTTTTTCCGAAACGCACGCTGTGTTGCAGCAACTGAACGAATGCACTCAATGTGCATTGTAACTATTTGCGCACGATCTTTGGGCGTAAAGCGATATATGACTGAAAGTGTATTGGAGTAACTTTTCCAAAAAGCTTTCACTGCATGGATTCGATGGAAGTTTATCAAAGTTCTTGACCACATATAGATGGCGCACCCTGTATATAAAGTCATAAATGAATATGTGAATGTCCCAAATAAAAAGCGGTGTGATTGAGACAAAAAAAAAATTGTACATATTTAATGAGGGTCCACTGACATTAACAAAGATCATTAAAAGCTCGTGTGAAAAAAACAGTGTTTACCAATGTAATCGGTTGAAAATAGCGTGGGAGCTTTTTTCAATCAGCCATCATTTAATTGAATGCAAATATTGAAACAAAATGTCGGACCGATGGTTTCATATCTCCCCACACACACACACACACACACAAACAGATCAAATGCATGAATATCGACTTTCACTTTATTCTGTATAAACAAAATACTTCAAATGAACATATGATAAAAGTGTATGAAAGGCAACAGAAAACCCTCTTATATATATGCATACACGCATACACGCATACATACATATAGTGTACGTGTAACATAAAAAACTGTAAGTGAAAGATATAAAAATATGCAAAAAGCATAGAGTTTCTCTGCTTTAATGGCACAAAGGCTAAAATTGCATATTGCAAATGCATATTACATACACACGTACATGCATATATATGTATATATATATATATATCTGTATATGTATATATATATATAAGGTGCAGTTAAATTTAACGTTTGCATTGCCCGCATGTGTTTGACATTTGATATTTGGCATTCGATGGAGCGACCAATATGTTCAGTGTTGTGCCCGCTCAATTTAATACAACTCGGCGCGCCACTGCTGCAACTGAAACTTACACTTTTATTTTCATCACATATGACACACTTTACTCACCTTTCACTTCAGTCATGCTCGCATATTCGCATGTTCGTATATTTGTATACTCGCTACCATTTCGATCAGTTTTCAATTTTCCTTTTTGATTTATTGATTAATTTTTTTCCACCTTATTCTTTGGTGCAGTTGGCATCATTTTTCTTTGTGCCACTCTATTACTCATATCAGTGGCAATTGTGGCATAGTTGCACGTAGAAAACCACTGTTGTACAATAGTAGAGTTTATAATAAAAAAAACTTTAGAGCTTACACAAAAAATTATTCTTCTATGTGTTGGTGGCAAGATTGAATATTATAAACTGTACCAATTTCAGGGATCTGATGCTGACTGCTTTGAAAAGTGGGCTTTTATTTCGATTTGGATGCGTAAATATGTAGCAGTCTATGTTTTTGTATGGTATGAAATCTTTTCGTTGTACACCAGTAGTAGTTAAGGCATGAAAAAATAAATGAAAATGTCGAAAAATGAATAAAAACTCAAAGAGTGAAAATTACACTTGCTACTCGGCTCCCACGTCACTGCTGACAGTATTTACTTTGAAGTCCTAGAATATCTCACCTATCTTGGAAGCAGCATTAACATCAATAACAATGCCAGTCTGAAAATTCAATGCAGAATCACTCTTGCCAGCAGGTGCTATTTACTTTCAGCTGAGTGGCCGATTGAATAGGAAAGTCCTCTCTCTACGAACAAAAACCAAACTCTTCAAGTCACTCATCATTTCCGTCTTGCTTTTTGGTGCGAAGGTATGGCGGATGCCAATATCTGATGAGTCTACAGGTTTTTCCTCTCTTCATTAAGAATGGCGTATACTGTAGCCGATGAAACAGGAGACAGCGGTTAGGCCATTTGATTCGGTCGGATAAGATAAGGTAAGAAAAAGAAGATCTCCATTATGCCACCGCTGCCAATATTTAATTGAAAACACACAAATCTTTTTGGACCAAGAGACTACCGTTATACTTCCCTAATGACTTTAAAGCCAAAATTTGGCGGAAAGAAAAGTGATGCTGAGTATTTCATAAGATTGGAACGAAATTATCCAATACAAGCTGCTTCAACCTTTCGCCGTGTGTCACAGTTTTAATTTTCATTCGATCTATGAGATACATTTTTTAGCATCAAAATAAGTATTTTTGCCTTCCTCAACAATTCAATTTTAAATTACATAACTACTAAATTTCAACTGTTGAATAATTATTTTTTTACTGTAGCTGAACTGTCTAAAATCTCGACGCTTAGCAAGCTCGGCATATTCCGTACGTTATGCGGATGTCGCCTCTCGTGTCGGTTGGGCGGATGGAGAGTATTCGTTGGGCTTATTTGGTAGGTATTTATGCTTGTTCTATTTTTGACCGATCTGTGGACTTTAGATGGCAAAGGAGTTGGGTAAATTTGGACAAAATTGTGCTTGGTTTTGTGAATTTTTGTGAGACATAGCGTCAATGGTGCAATGAAGAATGCCAATGGCAGTAATTATTCCGATGTGTCGTGGAATATTATATAATTGCAGTGCCCGCATAATTCAGCACTAGAATTCGGCATTTAAAAACAAGGGTTTTTCGAAATTCCAATTTTTTTTCTTTTTGAATACTTTGAGAAAGAAAACGCCGATTTTTTAATGAAACATCGGCGAATTATTAAAAATCTTGACTAGCAAAATCTTTCCAGCTTTTTCTCGAAAAATATTTACTGAAATAGTGTTCAAAAATATAAAATGACCATTGCAGTGGTTTTGAGGATATGAAGGCTACCGACGTTAAAAACGTGATTAGTGAGTAAGGTGTTTCAAAATGCTGACAAAACGTTCGTTAGTGAATTTTATGGGCTTACCTCATACTATTATGCCACAAATATCTGGGACTGTAAAGGTTGCTGCTATCATACGTGATGTCTAAGGCAATGGTTTTTTTCTGTCTGCGATGAATCTTGCCTTCAGTTTATCGTTCAGCTTTCCGAGACTCAGCTCGGCTTGCACATATGGAGACATAAAAATCTTACATTAATTATGCTCCAATCGAAATATTGTCACAATATTCTTGAGATATTATGCTTTCAGTTATAAAATAAAAAATTCAAAAAGGCAAAAAATTTGTTTTGAATAAATTACACTTCCATTGGTTAATTGAGTCGACCTTTTCTTTAATAACATTTTGTTTTTGAATTCAAAATATATTGGATGAGTGCATAAGTTCGTGCCCGATTCCGCTGGATGCCGTTCGAATCGTTTGAGAGTAGCGCAAGTGAAAGAAATATATACATATTATATATCGTTGGAAAGGTGACAGTCCGAGCTGTAAATCAAGCATAAAATAACTTCATTTTGATTTGAGTTGCTTAGTGAAAAGACGCATGGAAGATGGACAGCGAAAAAGATCATATGCGTCATATTATGTTATACGAATTCCGCAAAGGAAAAACAGTAGGCGCTGCAACTAAAGATATTCGCAAAGTTTATTTGGACCGAGCTCCAGCAATCCGCACAGTAAAGAAATAGTTCGCGAAATTTTGTCCTGGAGATTTTAACCTCGAAGATCAATCTCGCAGTGGACGGCCTTCTGAGCTTGATGACGATGTTCTAAGGACTTTAGTTGCGAACAACTCACGTATTTCGACGGAAGAGGTTGCCAGTGAATTCAACGTTTACAAATCAACCGCGTTTCGTCGTGAAAGACGTCAAAAACCACCTTGAAATCTTTTTCAACGAGAAACCGCGCGATTTCTATGAATCAGGCATCCGTAAATTGGTTGAACATTGGGAGTGGATTGCCGAACATGATGGCGAATACATAATTGATTTATAAAAGCGCTTTCTTCAAAATATTTCAATTTTAGTTTGCACTTGAAATCGGGCACTCATCCAGTATTTATATGGTGATGGATTGGAAATGCGTTAGCCAAATTATCAAATCAAATCAAATCTGGCGAGAGCAAATGTTTTACCAGTTGACTTGAATATTCAAATATGGTGTCGAAAAAAAAAAACAAAAGAAAAGCAATATCGGGTCCTGAATCTTACTTTGGACACAGCCGCAATAGCAGACAGATAGCTAAAATGGCTGTGAAAGATTTACATTCCTTTGTGTTTGGAAAGAGTTGTGCGAGTTGTAAGGCGGCATTGTATGATTTTTCGAACTTCAAGGATAATTGCAAGGTAAGCGTAAAAGTAGCAAATTCTACGCACGAATTCTGAGATTTATATCGACGAAAAATAGTTTATTTTTTTTTTGGTTTTTTTTTCTATCACTAGTATCAGTGCTGACTGTATTGACCAATAAGACTATATACGTATGTATATAGTTGGCTATTATCAGGTGTACAACTGATGTTACAATTCGAATAAAAATGCAGCTGAAGCTCATCGAATGCTCTCAGAAACCTACGGTGATGCTGCTCTGAGTGAAAGAACGTGTCGGGAGTGGTTTCACCGTTTTGAAAATGGTGATTTCGATGTCGAAGACAAACAAGGTTATGATTTGTATTTGGTGGGATCAGCTCGGTGTGATTTACTACGAGCTCTTAAAACCGGGTGAAACCATAACAGGAAATCGCGAATGCAACTGATGCGCCTTAGTCGTGCGCTAAAAGGAAAGCGGCCACAATATCAAGAGCGGCATGATAAAGTCATCCTCCAACACAACAATGCTCGGCCTCACGTCGCAAAAGTGGTCAAAAAATACCTGGAAAAGCTGAAATGGGAAGGCTTACCTCACCAGCCGTACTCCCCAGATGTCGCCCCTTCTGACTTCCACCTATTCCGTTCGATGGAAAAATGGATTGCTTCATGGAAAGCGTCAAAGTCCTCTACTCCTTTTTTCGAGTCGGGATCCGAAAATTGTCGGAAAGATGGGAGAAAGTTGTCGCTAGCGGAGGACAATACTTTGAATAATATTTCTGTAAGCAATTTTTCGCAATAAAGCTTTTAATTTTGGAAAAAAACGGCGGAAGCAAAGTTGTACACCTGATAAGAATGTGAAATTCGCTCAGAGTTTTCTGCTTCTAGTCAATAAAGGTAAACCGAATCACGATGAATCATTAAAAATATGTCCAATCGAGCTGTGTTGTTCCTTACTCTTCAAGCGTATATGCATACATATATATAATAGATTGTTATCATTTTATTTTTACCTCACAACAATTGTTGATTGCATGGCCTCGATACTTTCAATCAGTAGACAAATTTACACGTATGTATATGTATATACTGTTTTTGGTTCTTGCTTTGTGCGACCTACGACTTTGTATCCGCTCTGTCGCACTATTATAATATTTATATGCCTTTTAACGGCGTATGCATACCCATATGTACGACTATGTGCGTAAAAATGCTGTTGTATGTTCGTGGAACTTTTGAGGCGAGGCTTAGTGTGAGGGCAGCAACCGAAAGTGCTCAAAATGTAGGTATGAATTTATGAGAAAAAGCGGCGAGCTTTCGCACATCGACTGGGCCTGTGAACTACAATCTGTACTAAAATGTATATTATAACTTTTCAAGATAACCGAAAGCCACATACCGAGTTTTAGTAAAATCGGAACACTTCTAATTTGACCGCATCTGCTTTTGACAATAACTCAGATTTCTTCTTTCTGCCACAAAGGAAATATATCTACCAAATTATGACGAAATTAAAGCATGCTAACTATTTTTAGCCGCAGCGTAAGTGGTATTGCTACACTGTGCGCCGTACTCACGTATCCCCTGGGCTTTGCACAAAACAAATGCATCAATTGTTCCTGCAACTGGCGAATGGAACACAAATATTTATCAATACTCATATAAGTATTCTCCGAATGTGTATTTTCATTTTTACAGCAGCTGCACTTTATATTGCCGCACTTTTGTACATTCTGCAATGGTATCCAAATATCGTTGTTTTTGTTTTTCAATTTTAACATTTCATATTCTCCATAAATATTTTAATTGTAGTCTCACTGTGTATTTGCGCATTAAGAGATTCGAAAAAAAAATATTATTATTTTTATATTGTATTGTTGTTTTTTTTTATTGTATTTACCATTGTTATATGGGGGTATGGAATCTCTGGCGCTCAATTAAATTCCACAGTCCAAGCGACAAATTGTTCGTAAAATGTTTCGAAAGGCGCTCATTTCCAGAGGGGCTGTATTTTAATGGTTATACGTGTGTGTGTGTGCGCTCTTGTTTGGGTCAGTAGGTGTTAAAAGCCACCGTTTGCTGAGCGGGCCAATGAGCCGAAAAAAAGACTGGTTAATTTACAAGAACGTGAGTAACATATTTACAAATGAGTTATTAATATTTTATTCAATCACAGAGCCCTTTAAAAGAAACTGCTACGTGTCCCTTTACGAGGTGTGACAACAAAGTAATGGGACTGATAATATTGCCGCGTTCGCGGTAACCCCGCGACATGGAAATTCACTTTC